AAAAAAAAAAAAAAAAGGAGCCAACAGCAAATAGCTCAAGGCAACAGAAAGCTCCTTCCCACAAGCATTTCCTCTTATCTGAAACCACATCCGAAATTCCACACCACAGACATTCCCACTGGGACTCAACTTTACTCAGGGCCTTCTGTCCCCAAACACCTGCTCCCTTGTCAGCCTGGACAGAGTCCGTTTGGAGCTTCCCCAGGCCCTCTGTGATTGATCAGTCCCCTTGAGTCTCCAGTAGCGTACCTTGTGACTCATGTCCACAGCTGTTGCAGACACTGCAGGACAAGGTGACCACAGCAGCCGTCATAGCTACAGCAATCCGCTGTGCCTGCTATGTCCACCCTCTAACCCAGACCACAGCCCCACTTACAGATGTACAAACTGAGGCCCAGAAAGAGAAGCAACATGCCCAAGGCCCCTCAGATGGAAGGTCAGTTTCCAGTCTAATGACCGCATTGGAGTCAGGTCCCACAGGACCAGGAGTCCAGGAACGTGAGTTCAAATCCCAGTCCTGATGCTACCCTCCCCCCCCACACACACACACACTGTGAGTCAGCACACCCTTCTCCCGGATCTCAAAACTGGGGCCAAGCTGGGCACCAGTGTGCATGCCTCAGGAGGCTGAGGCAGGAGGATGGTCAGTTCAAAACCAGCCTCAGCAGTTTAGTGAGGTCCTAAGCAACTCACGAGACCCTGTCTCTAAATAAAATATGAAAAAGGACTGGGATGTGGATGTGGCTCAGTGGTTAAGTGCTCCTGGGTTCAATCCCTGGTGCCGATAAACAAACAAGCAGATAAATAAACAACAACGAAATCCAAAAAAATTGGGGCCAAAATCACTGCCACCACAATGACGACTGGCATTTATGGCCAGGTCAGTACTTGTGGGGCTATTGCTGATTCTCGTGGACTTTGTTCCTGCAGGGAAACTGTCGCGTAAGCCTGGCCATTTCCACAGAGGGAAACCAAGACAGAGATGTGGCCATCTGCCTGGGACAAGAAAAGGGGGGGTAGAGGTTGAACCTGGAAGAGAACTATTCAAGAACGTGACTGACTGGCCACTCTGATGTCACCTGGACACAGGCGGCTTCCTGGGTCTGTTCCCTGGGCTGGGTACTGGAAGGGCTGGGCTGAGTGATTGTCCCGCATTAGGGTCCAACTGGATGGGGACAGAGGCAGTTCCGGGAGAGCCTGGAGGCTTCCGGGAGGACCAGGGCCCCTTCCCAATCCGCCTCAGTCCTTGGGACCCCTCCTGGGCCAAGGTGTCGGGGCAACTCTGGGCTGAACACGTTCCAACGTGCGCTGGAATTGTGGGAGCTGGGACGGGGTCAGGCAGCTCCATCTTCCCACAGGGAACTTCTTGGGGTGGCCGCCTGGGGTGGGCTAGAGAGGGGCTGCTGTGGCGCTGGGCTCACCAGTCCAGGGGTGAACAAGCACTGCTACCAGGGCCTCAGTGTCCCCCTCTGGGAAATGGGGACAGACACGGCTCCTTTGGAGGCTGAAGAAGAGCATGGGCAAGAGATCCCAGCACCTCCGTTCTTGACTCCTTCCTCTGTAGAAGGCACCACGCTCAGCACTCCAAGGAGCCAACCCCAGGGGCACTCGCCCCTCTACGTCTCTCCTCCTCTCCCAGATACTCTGGCACCTCGAGGTGGCTTCCATCATTATCCCCATTTTATAGGTGAAAAAAACCGAGGGACAGGAAAGTGAGGTCCCGCACTGGGTCAATGGTAGAGACAAGCCTGGAGGGCTGCCCATCGGCCGCCGGCTTCCTCACACGTTCCAGGGGTTCCCAGACCCTGCCCAGCTATGGTCCATGAGAAGCACCCCCTTTCTCCTTGAGTTTCACTGCCCAGAACCTGGGCAGAGCTGGAGCCCCACGGCCCCTGGGGGGCCCAGTGCTGCTCTACGAGCACAGACCCCTCGCCTCGTACCTTGATGTCCTCCGCATTGGCTGCCTGCAGCTTCTCCCGGAAGTGCCCATCTGTCTCTAGCACGTTGATGACCTCCTGTAGGTACCGATGGTAGTAGAGGCCCGTGTCCTGAGACAACAAGGTCAGCCATATCAGCCCAGTCTCTCCCCTCCCTGGTTCCTCCCCTCAGACAGGAACTCAGCCCCACTCCAGAGTGGCCGCTGGGCAACCCAGGGACCTGCCACACAGAGCATGAGGCGGACTTCACAGAATAAGGGCTCCGGGGCCAGCAGACCTGGGTTCCAACCCTCACCAGGTGTGTAACCACAGGCCAGCTGCGTGACCCACTGGGCCACAGTCTTCACTCTTCCCAGGTCTGCAGTGGAGATGAATGGAAGTCTTTCAGATGTGCACCCAGCCCAGCGGCAGCCTACAGAGCGGGTGTCTACAGGGATGTGTCTTTGTTGCAAAGCAAGGAAACGTGCTATCGTTCATTCACCCACACCTTCATTCATTGATTCCTTCATTCATTCATCCACTCACTCTTCAACAAGCACTGACAGAAGCCCTACCATGGGCCAGGCACTGGTCTAGGAGGGATGGCAAGTGACAAGACAGAGATTGCTGGCCTCCTGTCTTACCCCTGAGCCTCACTCTTTCTATTTATAAAAGGGACAATATAGTCTTCCCTCAGCATGGATGGTAGATTGGTTCCCGAACCCCAATACATATCAGACTCCATAATGCTCAAGTCCCTTACGTAAAAGGACAATTTGCATATAACCTACATGTACCTTCTTATATCCATTATTTATGTATTTATTTTGCGGTGTGGGGGTGGAACCCAGGGGCTCATGCATAGAGGCTGCTCTACCACTCTGCTACATCCTCAGCCCACATTACTGAGGTATTAGCCTCTATTCTATTAGCCTTGGAATAAAAAAATAAATTCTCAGCTGGTTCAGTGGTGCACACCCATAATCCCATCTAGACTGAGGCAGGAGGATCACAAGTTCAAACCCATTCTGGGTAACTTGTCTCAAAATAAACAACAGAAAGTGTTGGAATGTAGTTCAGTGGTAGAGCAGCCCTGGGTTCAATCCTTTAAAAAAGAAGAAGAAAAAGAAGAAATTCTCTACCATGGTCCACAAGATGCTACATGATCTGACCCTTGTGCCAGCCCACGGGTCTCCAGGTCCCTCAAAGCACTCTGCTCCCTCCCACCACACAGACTTTGCCCAGGCTGTTCCCTCCCCCGCATTCACTTCCTTTCTTGCCCTTGATCTAGCATTCTTCCCTCCCCCCCTCACCTATCCTGCCCTCCCGGATTATCACTCTATCACCTGGGGCCCTTCCCTCTGTCTTCTATCTCTCAGTGAGTGGGGCTGGTCCCTGAGGGCAGGGGTCTTAAATAGCTGGTTCTAGTGACCAGCACCTTCTGGTTCAGAGAAGATGCTCAAGAGAATGAGCAAAGAAAAAGAGACTCAAAGGTGTCCTTCTCTGTTTGCAAAGATTTCACAGAACAGAGGCCTAACATGCTGGGCAAGGACCTGCCACGCAAGAGTGTGATATGAACCATCCCAAGATGCAACGATCTGTCCATTTTCAGGCCACACAAAACAGGGTGTTGGATCTTTAAAGTTCCAACTCTCCTAAGAGCAAAGGTTTCATGCTTAGGAGAGTTCCAACTCTCCTAAGAGCAAAGGTTTCATCCTTGAAAAACACCCGTTGGAATTAACAAGCAGTTTATATATGCCCTTTTTAATTTAAACTACACCTCCATGAGCTCCACAAAAATAAGAAAACCCCAGCTAATTAGCATGGTATTGCTCGTGGAGCTATTGAGAAATACACTTCTTTCTCCTCAACCCCCAAATTCCTTCTTCGGTGGGGAGGATCTTAAGGTTTAAGTGGGGAGAGATGCTGACATTTTACTTAAAATCCGACTTGATTTCCATATCTCTAAGTCAGGGACCCCCAGTTTTTCACCAAGTCATATCCCCAGGTACTGCAAAAATGGCAGGTAAATGACAAGCCACAACCGTGCGGCATGGAGTCTCTGGAGCATTCACCCGGCGGGCAGGGGTCAGAGGGGCTGTGCGCGCGGGCGCGGGGATTGTGCCACAGCAAACCTCTGGCCAGAGAGCAGGGCAGGGCTACTCACCGGGCTCTCGGTCGCGGGGCTCTCCTTCTCGGGCACCCCCCGCTCCAGGGGCACCGCCAGCACGGCACGCAGCAGCAGCAGCAGCGACGGCAGGAGGAAGAGGACTCCGTGGGGCCAAGTGGGAGGCATGGCGGCAGGGTCTGTGGAAAGGGAAGAGGAGCCGAGAGGTGGATCATCAATGAACGTCCCAAGCCGGCCTCTTCCCCGGATCCGGGAACGCAACCCCAGGGCGCCGCCCCCACCTCCAAGAAGCAAGCGATTCCGCTTGGTTACAGTGACCCAGGATACCAGGCCTCTAGTCTTCCCTTCCTCCAACCCCGGAGTCCGGGTCCTCAGTCCCGGGAGTCCCGGCTCCCGGCACCCGCTCCTCTGACTCAGCTCCAGGATCTTGACCTCCGCCTCCCCGAGCCCCTCAGCCCCCCAGCCTCCTCTTTTCCCAGGATCTACGAGTACCAGCTCTCGGCCCACCGACCTCCAGGACTCAGTGCTCCGGCCCAGTGGCCCACACCCTCCCCAGCAGCCCGATCTGGAACCCCAGACCCTCACCTCGCTCCACCGCAGAGGGCGTCTTCCCGGGCCAGGACCTCCGGTGCGTTTCTGGTGATTTCCCTCCTAGGTCACGCCCACTTTCCCGCAGAAAATCCGCCCCAGGAGCTTGATTGGTCCACGCTAGCTCCGGACTCGTGCGCCCTCGTCTAGAGGCCCCACCCCTTGCCGAAGCCGCTCCCCTATTCTGGAAAGTCTCAGCTCCTTCCTCACAAGCTCCGCCTCTTAACGCAATATTTCCTGCCTCGTAGGCCACCGGAGCGAAGACCTAAAAAGAGAACTACAAATCCCGGCAGGGCCAGGAGGAAAAAAAAAAAGAAATATATATGAGTCTACTTCCGCGGATATCTTGGCCTCACGGGAATTGTAGTTTTCCCATTTCTGTTCGCCCACAAGGACTTGCAAATTATAGCTCAGAAGCAATTGCACAGTTCCCCTGACAAGTTTCTTGACAAGTGAGCTCTGTAGAGCGAGACTGTGAAGCGGCCCCTCTGGGGCCCTTTAAGAAACAGCTGTATGGCGTTCCAATTCAGAATGCCTGGAGCAGGGTTGCCTGGCAGCAGAGGTGACCCTGGGTCATTGCTTTGTTGAAAGTGGAGCACGGGGGACCAGGGACCAGGAGGGCAGGAACTAAGGCAGGGCTTAGTGAGAATCCCCCTCACTCTCATCCCTTTTTCTTACCCTGCCTACTTCCCAGAGACTCAGAGATTAGATCCCCAACCCCTCAAGAGAGGGTCAGGTAGGTTTAAAGTGTGGCCACAGGGGGTGAGCACTGGGGCCTAAATGGGAACAGCTCCCCAAGCAGGAGGGAGGAGTGGGTGTCTCCAGGTTCTCAGGAAGGTGGACTCTGAGGGTCTGGGACCACGGGAGGTCAGCTGTTTGGGCCCAGAGCCTTGATATCTGGTTGCAGGAAAGACTTAAGTACTGGGGGAGAAAGAATTGGGTTTCTGAGTTCCTAATGATGATAAAGCTGGAATCAGACTACTGGGTCTCAGTCAGGGATGCTGCAATTTGGGCTGTCTAGGTCCAGGAGAGAAATTAAGGTTTTGGATTAGGTGTTGGAGGGCAGCCTCCATTGGGATGTTAGATCTGGGGCCTGACTTTGTGTCTTGCTTCTCCAGAATGTCTCAGGAGAATGACACTTGGAAAAAAGAGTGAGTGGGGACACTAAACGGGCAGTGGTGGGGTGGAGGTGAAAGCGGAAACTTAAAGCTTGATTGTGCCCCCTATACATTCTCTCTCGCTCTCTCTTGCTCTCTTGCTCTCGTTCTCTCTCTCTCAGCTTGGCCTCATAACCATGTTTAGAGGCTCAGTACCATCAGTCTTGCAGGAAGGGGCTGGGGACTTGGACTCCTGGGTCCCAGAGGGAGGGAGCTACTGGTGAAGACTCATGGGTCTGAAATAGGAGGGACAGGAACCTGGACTCCCGGGTCCTGAGACAACAAGAGTCTGGGATCTCTACTCCTGGATTCTAGATGGTCCGGTTCAGAACTTGTGGAGCAGTGCCAGGTTCTGCACCTTCTGTGACCTCACATGTGCTCAGAACCCAAGTTGGGCAGGGCAGGATAGAAGGGAAGAGCTCTTGGGCAAGGGAGGTGCCCTGCTTGCTGTCACCACAGGCCTATATTTCTCTCAGGACCCTGGGGGATGAACTTGCTGCTCTACGGCTTCAGAAGCTGGAACAGCAGGTACCAATGCCCGGGAATCTTGCCACCCCTACTCTTCCATCTTCCAGACTTCCTCAGAAGCCCCATGTCCAACACTTGCTGGGCCCAGGATCACAGTGGTCTCTCTGAATCTCAAGTTTAGAGACTTCTGGGTCCCTGATAATTTGCCCAGGCCTACAGAACCCTTTGCTCCAGGAAATGAGAAAATAAGAATTCAGGAAGCAAACCCTGTTGATGAAACTCCTCAATTTTCTAAGGACCAAGAATTCCAGAGGGCAGGAGAACTTACTGGGTCTTGAGGGAGGAGGTGGTTGGATGCTAAGATTTTTGGATTCGAGGGAGGAGTTGAAGGGTTGAGGGCCTGGGCACCTGGCACCCAGTGGAGAAGGGGGTTCATGGATTCTCCCACTGGGCTTCGCTTGGTCCTGTCTTGCCCCCACGCACCCCCCTCTCGTGTACCTGCAGTGGCGACTGTTTGAGAAGAAGCAACGACGGAAACGCCAGGAGCCCCTCATGGTTCAGGCCAATCCTGATGCTTCCATGAGGCTCCGGCGACTGCGGCGGCGAGAGGAGCACTTCCTGAGTGACACCGGTAAGGAAAGGCTCCAGGGGCTCAGTGGGGGAGTTGGTCTAGAGGGATTTTTGAGATCTGGACGAGGCTTAATGGGGTCAAGGGGTAGGGCCTGGTAGAACCTCTGGACAAAGCTCAGGAGAGCTGAGAACTGGCCAGTGAGACCGAGTGGGCAGGGAGGGCGTGATGCACCTGCAGAGTGGGCCAAGAGAATCGGGTGATGGGGCTTAGTCTGGAGAGTATGGATGGAGGGCTTCCAGGCTTGTGTTATTGATTGATTGATTTAGCAGTACTGGAGAATGAACCCAGGGTTGCGCCCTTGCCAGGTACGCACTGTGCCACTGAACGACCTCCACCCGGGATTTGGGTAGAGAGGAAGAGAAACTGTGAGGGCCTGGCATAGGATTGTTTAGGCATGGAGTCCATGACAAATAAGTAGCCCAGCTGTGCTTTTGCTTGAGCCTTGGGATGAAGTTAGAGTTCTCACGCCCTCTTAAGGGTTGGGGTGATCAGTGAATGGCCCGATGTCTAGGGAGACCAGTTAGGATGTAAATCTGCACTAAGGCCCATTTTAATGGGCCTCCCTGCACCTTCTCCCAGGCATTGGGAACCCTTTTCTCCAAGAGAATATGCCAGAGGCCCATCTGCGTTTGGGTGCCCACAGTGTCCCAGTTACCATGAACTGTGGTGGAGATGGCATCGGCGAGCACAGGCCCCTGGTGTCACTGGCAGAAGCAGGTACCCTCAAGTCCTCAGACCACCTCGACTCCAGAACTCTGCTCTCTGACCAACCCAGGAGGCGGAGACCCCAAGCCTGGCTCTTCAGGATCTCAACCCCCACCTCCCTCACACCCAGGAATTCGGGTCCTAACCCTCCTCCTTCATCACCCAAGGATCCATCCCCAGCTCTTCCTTCCCCAAAAATAGATTCAGAAATCCTGCTCTCCAGTCTTACTTCCTCCCTGTCTTTGTTCCCAGACAGTTCCGATCCAGAGTTGGAGGAAGTCTTCGTGGAAGATTTTCCCGAATCCCTTCCATCCTATAGAGAAAGGTTTCTGGGAACTTGTCGCAGGGGTTGGCTAGCCCCACGACGGCCTGGTAATTTTAAGAATATGTTTGTAAAGTCTGGCTTTCAGGTCCATGGGGCAAATCATCCCCTTTATTTGATAACATTTTTAATGAATAATGATGTCATTCACTTATGTCAAGTTTACAATACCACGGGTTTTTAGTATCGTCAGAGTTGTGCAACCATCACTACAATTTTGGAACATATTCATGACCCCAAAACAAAACCCTATACCCCTTAGCAGTCACTCTTCTTTTATTTCCCCTAAAACAATCCCTAATCTACTTTTTTTTAGTGTTGGGGATTGAACCCAGGGCCTTGTGCATGGGAGGCAAGCACTCTGCCAACTGAGCTATATCCCCAGCCCCCTAATCTACTTTCTATCTCTTTAGATTTGCTTATTCGGGAGGTTTTTTATGAATATAATAATATAATATATGGTCTTTTGTGTCTGGTTTCTTTAACTTAGCAAGTTTTTAAGTGTCATCCATGTGTAGTCCATTGTCAGACTTTTAATCCTTTTATTCTAATGGCAGCCAACAATTTCATTGACAGGATTTTCAATTAGCATCCCAACCTCTCCACTCCATCTTTTTTTTTTTTTGGCATCAGGGATTGATCCCAGTGGTGCTTTTCCACTGAGCCACATCCTCAGCCCTTTTAAATACTTTATTTGAAGACAGGGTCTTGCTGAGTTGCTTAGAGCCTTGCTAAATTGCTGAGGCTGGTTTTGAACTCATGATCCTCCTGCCTCAGCCTCCTTAGCCACCAGGATTACAGGCGTATACCACGATGCCCAGGTCTCCACCCCATTTTAATTCCTCCATCTCTCTGATGCTGTCTTTGATACAAGGGAAAGGGAGAACTCTGAGGTTGGGAGTGAAGCTCAGTGGTAGAGCCCTCATCTAGCATGCACAAGGCCCTAGGTTCCATTCCCAGCATTGGAGAGAAAGAGAACTCGAATTCATCCTTGTCTTTGGGACCAGGACAGTCAGACACTCCTCAGCCTTTGTAAATCCCCAGGTACATAGAGAAGGAAGAGGCTGTGAGGGAGAAGGGTAGAGGCGGAGTGAGAAACCTGGAGTTCGGGCCTTAGCTAGCACTGATGACCTTGTCCCAAACTCCAGGACCCAGTCTTCCTGAGCTCAGTCTCTGGCTTCTTCTACCACTTAGGGGCCAGTTCAGAAGACCAGAATGAACTCCAGGATGTCCAAGATGAATATGGGGCACCCAATCTGGCACAAACCCCTGGAATGGATGGTGACGGGGGACATGGAGGCTTGGCATTCTTCAAGGTGTGAGGAGGCGAAGCCTTTAAGGATTTAGGAAGAGGGTGGGGGATAGCCATCTGGGTAGGGTGGGGATAAAGTTCTGCTGTCCAATCAAAGGCCTTTTTCTCCCCTTTCCCTTGTGGACAGAACTATCCACAAGGCTGTTGTGATCAAGTTAGTGGAGGCTTTGTGTGTGCTAGAGAATTCTAGAGGATTTAAGTCAAACTGGATGATTTGACTTGATGTGGGCATGACTGTTAAAATGGAGCACCTGCAGATGGGCAGGTGGAGGGGGTGGGCAGCTTTCGCCTGTAATCTCAGCTACTCCAGAGGCTGAGGCAAAAGGGTCGCCAAGTTCTTGGCCAGCTTGGGCAACTCAGTGAGACCCTGTCGCGAAATACAAAAAATACAAAGGGCTCAGGATGTAGCTCAGTGGTAGAACGCAACTGGATTCAAGGTGGGCGGTGGTTGTGGGGAATGCAGCTGCCGCTGATGAAAAGGCACGGCCTGAGAGAGCGGGGCAGCGATACACAAGGGCCAGTAGGCACCACTTTGGGTGGCGCAAATGCAGAAGATGCTTTCACTTGGTTAGATCCTGCTCATATTATGTGTCTAGGTAAGTATGGGTTTCAGCTGAATGGGCAGTGCTATCAAAAGGATTATTTTTTTTTTAATTTTATTTTATGTATTTATTTATATGTGGTGCTGCTAGTGCCTCAGATATGCTAGGCAAGCGGTCTACCACTGAGCTACATCCCAACCCCTCAAAAGGATTCTCCGATCAGAATCTGTAGATGGAGTGGGCGTGGTAATGGGAAAAGCTAATAGAGTTAGCCAATCAACAGATGTTTAGGGTTTGGCTGGGTGGGTTGGCTGAGATGCTTGACCAAAAAGCAGAAGTCCTGAGCTGGAGAGGGCGTAACCTTGAGCTGGACAGCCAATCAGCTCTTTGTCAAGGCTGGGCTCCACTCTCCCTCGATTTTGAATTTGGCTGGTGAGCCAGGGAGAAGACCTGGAAGAAAAGCAAGAGGAGTTGGAGTCTGCAGGGGCGAGCTCCGCAGCTGCCGCCAAGGAGGTGTCCGCGGTCCCGGAAAGCGTGAGCTGTACAGCCAGCTGCTTCGTGGAGGGCGTGGCTGGCTTGCTACCCCGTACCCCAGGCTTTCCTGGCCTTCTGCTGGGAGAAGACTTGGAGACCTACGTCCTGCGGCCAGCGCAGCGGGGCCACATGGTGCAATGCTGCATCAGCCGCGACAAGCATGGCGTAGACAAGGGCTTGTTCCCCATTTACTTCCTCTACCTGGAGGCAGAGAACGGCCGGAAGGTGCGGTCCACCCCTTGGGGGCCCTTTTGCCCCACAGGCAGGGTAGAAAGCCCTGCCTCCCATGGGCAAGTCCCCTCCTTTCTGAGCAAGATCAGGTCATCAGAAAGAAAGGACATGTCAACTCCCACCAAGCCCCGGCCTCCCAGCACCAAAATCCTTTCCTTACAGCGCACAGTCACATAGACGCTACCAATCCTATAACCAAGTCAGGCCCACTCCAGAGTTGGGCCTGCTTTTTCAAATCAAACCATACTTTCTCAGGATCGGAAGGTTTATTGGTCCCTTCTTTGGGTTTACCCAATCCTGGGATAAACCCTTCCCCTTCATAGATTTCCCATTCTAGAGCCAAGACGGGCTCCTTTCAATCTAGTCAGTCCCATCTAGTGTGGCCTCTTTTTCCTTTGGCTACAATATTTCTCCCAGAATGAGCCTTTTTCCTTTCTTAGAGCCAAACCTGCTTTTCCTGGATGAAATGTCTTCCAGAGTCCTGTTCCAAGAGTCCTTCCCTATTCTCCAAAGCCAAGCCCTACCTGAGCTCAGCCTCAGCCCAGTATCCACTGGCAAAGGAAAAGGAGGAGATATTAAGATATAAAGCCCCCCTTCAGGACCTAGCTGATCGGTTTATTTCAATGAGAATCTCTCCCAGCAAGCTCATTACTCTCTCCTCTGCAACGAGACATGGCATTTCCTTGTCTTTGGACTCCTCTGTCTCTAGCCAGACACCAGAAATCCATTCTGATGGGTTCTCCTTTCATCCACAGCACTTCCTCCTGGCTGGGCGAAAAAGAAAAAGGAGCAAAACTTCTAATTATCTAATTTCCCTGGACCCTGAAGATCTGTCTCGGGATGGGGACAGCTTTGTTGGCAAAGTCAGGTGGGCAGAGCCCAAATGTATTGTGAAAACAAGGTGGTACAGAGCCTGGGAAAGGAAGGGGCCTACACTTCCCAGTAGGCTGTAGGGCACAAGTTCCACCTGCCTTAGGGCATGATGGGTTTATAGACTGGATTTTGTGTATGTGTGTTTGTGTGTCATTTTTGTTTCTGTTGGTCGTGGGGGTTGAACCCAGGGGTACTTTACCACTGAACTACATCCCTAGTCCTCCTTTAGTTCTTGATGGGCCTTTCAACCCTAGCCCCCCAGTCCCTTTTATTTTTATTGCTTTATTTTATTCTTGGTACGAGGGATTAAAACCAGGGTTGCTTAACTACTAAGTTACATCCCAAAACTTTTTATTGTTTTGAGACAGGGTCTTTGCTAAGTTGCTTAAGGCCTTGCTAAGTTGTTGCTTGCAATCTTCCTGCCTCAGCCTCCCCAGTCAGTAGATTACAGGCATGCTCCACCACACTTAACTGAGTTTTGTAGTTCTTCAGGTTGTATATCCAGGTGTTTTGGAAAAGAAAAGCAAAAAGTTTTGAATAGTATGATGCACAGGCTAGTGTTTAAGACAAATTCCTTCTTGAGAGGCCAGGGCTGGAACCCTTAAGTTTCTATGGGTAAAGAGATCTAGAATGTGTGAGATTTTGAATACCAGAGGGAAAAGGGTCCCTTCTTTTTTCAGTAGTGGAGATTGAACCCAGGGATGCTTTGCTGCATGCCCAGCCCTTTTTATTTTTTTATTTTGAGACAGAATCTCACTAAGTTGCTCAGGCTGGCCTCAAATTAGTGATCCTCCTGCTTTAGGCTTCCAAGTCACTAGGAAACAGGATGCACCATTGCACCCAGCATGGAAGAGGGTTCCTCTAAAGGGCCAAAGCAGAAGGCTAAACACATGACTCACCAAAGGAAGAGAGGGCTAGGACCATGGATACAGGGAACATGATTCTTACCTAGAGGACTGATTTGGGAAAGTACTTACAGCCAAAGAGTAACAATTTTTATTTTTTATATTTTTTTTACTTTTATTCTGCCAACTGCCCTTTGGGAGCAGATCTAATGTATTGGGCACCAAGTTCATCATCTTTGACAATGGGACAAGTCCCGACCGGAAGCATTTGGTACCAGACACTGACCGGCTCAGAGAGGAGCTGGGAGTTGTATATTATGTGAGTGTGTATTTTCCTCCTGGAGAGGAAAGAAGAGAGGGAAAGAGGGAGGGGAGGAGACAGAGAATGAATTAATAAGGGGTGGGACAAGAGGGATGGGAAGAAGAAGCCAGGCTAACTGGAATGTAATACTCCCAGGAGACTAATGTTTTGGGATTCCGGGGGCCTCGGAAAATGACTGTGATTATCCCAGGAACCGACAGCCAGGGCAAAAGAATCAGCATCCAGCCACAAAAAGTGAGTCTTCAATGTCGGGAATCTTGGGCCAGAGTCCTGTTCCATGAGTCCTTCCCTATTCTCTGGGGGGCCATCCTTGCAGGTAAGGTGAAGCCTCTGGAGGACTTTGCCAGACATCCGTCTCAAGGAGTAAAGACTAGAGATTCAAGAATTCTGGATCGGGAAGAAAAAAGGTGGCTGGTGGTAAGTTAACAGACCATGCCCCCCTACTTTTCCTTCAAGGAACAAGAGTCGCTAATGAATCGCCTCCAACGGGGGTCCGGCCAGGGGCTGGTCCTGCTGCAAAACAAAGCCCCATCCTGGAGCGACGAGAGCGGCGCCTACGTGCTCAACTTCCACGGTCGAGTCACTCGGGCTTCTGTCAAGAACTTCCAGATCGTGCACCCTGAAGACCGTGAGCTCCTGGGAAGGGCTTACCTGGGCCAGGGAGCATGGGAACTACTACTCCCATCAGCACTTGAGCGCCTTTTCCGCGGGGCTGACTCCTTGCCATTGCAAGGCCTATTGGGAACTGTAGTTTACACCGCCCTCGGAGGGTTTTCCCATTTAATAAGCTTCTTAGGAGTCGTGATTCCTGAAGCCCTGAGGCTGGGACATGAGGCGGGTCTGGTTAAGGCTGAGTTTTTGACTTTCTCCTTAGCGGACTACCTGGTTCTTCAATTTGGCCGCGTGGCCCCAGATATGTTCACTATGGACTTCCGGTTCCCGCTTTGTCCGCTCCAAGCCTTCGCTATCTGCTTGTCCAGTTTCGATGGGAAGCTGGCATGTGAGTAACTCAATAAAATACCATCCCTTCACAGTCTTCTGTGCCTGTGAGTTTAGAGAAAGCATCCCAACATGCCTCCTCCTGCTTGTGTGTGTGTGTGTGCGGGGTGGGGATTGAACTCAGAGCTGCTTTACCACTGAGCTACATCCCCAGTCCTTTTTATTTTTTTATTTTGAGACATGGCCTTGTTAAGTTACTGTGGCTGCCTTTGAACCTGCAATCCTCCTGCTTCAGCCTCCTGTGTAGCTGGGATTACAGGCGTGAGCCACCACCCCAGCACCAATACTTATTAGATACTGCCTGCCTGTTCCGGCCTGTGCTCTAGGGAGTGGGCTGTGTAGTAGCACCTATTCCTGCCAGGCTCACAGTCATCATGAGAGAAGGACCGTAACCAAAAAAGCAAAAGTTCAGAAAAGCTTATACAGCCGCAATCTGTTAGTTCAGAGCAGGGCAACTCTAAAAAAGTGCCACTCATACTACATGTGCAGAGTCAGGATAAACTAGCTAAGGGGCCTGGTGGGAACATTACGCAGCAGGCAGAGCTCCCCAAAGGCCTTGAAGGTGGACTTGGGGGACTGAAAGCTTTAATTTGGCAAGAACCTAGGGATCCAGTAGACAGGGGGAAGGTAGAAGGCTGGACCTTTGGTCCACCCTTGTTTTAACTGGACAGATCCTGTGAGCTCAGAGAAGGGTTCTAAGCTGTTGATATAAACTTGTTTGGGTAATTAAAAATATGAATAGTGAGCGTGAGCTCACTTTAACAACGGTGAAGGTTCCTACAATCCCGTATGACATGTAAAATCCCATAAAGTGTATAAAATTGTTAGATATGTTGCCCTTCGCACACAGGGCTTATAAATATGAAATCAGGCAATGGAAAGTTTTGAGGAACACAGTTAGAGAATGTAAAGGCCATAGAGAATTAATTGGACCTTAACACAACAGGGAGGCACAGATAACTGAAGCTTAACTTTTTCTTCTTTGGGATTGGTGAGTCAAGCCTCCAGCCCTCTTGGGGAGATGACTGCCCAAGTTTAAATAAATTTAGGCAGTTGCCAAAGAAAATCTACAAAACCCACCAGTCCTTCATACTTATCCCTCCAAATCAGGCACCCAGGAAGATACTGTCAGTACACACACAGAGACATTGCTCACTACAAATCAAAAAGCTTTATTCCTTAAATAAACCAACACTTTAAAAAAGTTAATAAATAACATGCAACCATTTGGTCTTAGCCACGCCTCCCAGTGAGATTCAGGCTAAGAGCTGGTGCTTCCAAAGAAGGGGTATGAGGGGGTGTGGCCATAGCCTGACTCAAGGGCGTGGCCTGAGCCGGAGCCTCCGAGGAGATCAAGGGGAAAAATAAGGTCTGGGTAGAGGCAGGTAAGGGGGTAAGAGAACTGGGTGCATTCCCAAGGCGTGCCCAGGCTCTTGCCCGGGAGGCAGGGGTAAGGCAGGGACCTAGCTTTTCCTGGGCCTGGGCGATGCGGCGGGCAAAGCGACTCCGATCCCGAGCGAACTGTTCCCAGGGGCCCCGGCGGGCAGCCTGGGCCGGGCCTGCCCAGACAGCCAGGAAATGCACGGTGACCTTCTCAGAGAAGCGCACCTGAGGACAGAGAGACAAAGATACATGGAGACACAAGGTTCCAAACAGAATCAAGGAAAAATCAGCTGCACAAAAATGCTTGCTATTTGCCTAGTCACCTGCCTGTCAGACTTCCAAATGACTCACTGGAGAAAGATGGCGTTCTGGGGCTGCCTCCTCCTCCCACTGGGGCCCCAGCCTCTTACAGAGGATTGCAAGATGATGTGCATAGTCCTCCCAGAAGAGTTCCTATGCAATCTGCTGCAATGTTCCTGGGACCCAGGAGTCCTGGCCTCCAGCCCTTCCCCACTAGACAAGAGTTCCAGCTCCTAGCCTTCTCCTCCCTCCAAATAAAAAAAGATCTGGGCCCTCAGCACCCACCTTTCTGGATTTTGGGGGAGTTTCAGGGTCTGGATCCTGGGTGAGGGTCTGTGACAACCTGAGTCGTCTTTGTAGTCTGAGGGGCAGCTTAGGAGCAGTCCAGGGAGGTGGTGGTTTCTCTCCAGGTAGGTAGAAGGCCACTCTGAAGGGGCTGGTCTCAGAGTCTCCCCATTTCCCTTCAGCTTCCTCTTCCTCTGTCTCCTTTCCTGGTTGATATAGCCAGCCCCTGAGGTGGGCACTCTGGGCCTGAAGGGAGGGGTGCTGGCCCCAGGCAGCTGCTCCACAGTCCTC